CCCGTGCTTTGGGAGGCCGAGGTGAGTGAATTGCTTGAGCCCGCAGGTTCGAGACCCGCCTGGGCAACTTGGCAAGACCTCATCTCTACAATAAATTAAAAAAAAATTAGCTGGGCGTGGTAGCGCACGCCTAGTAGTTCCAGCTACTCAGAAGGCTGAGGCGGAAGGATCGCCAGAGCCCAGCAGGTCGAGGTTGCGGTGGCCGGGAGCGGCCACTGCATTCCAGTCTGGGCGACAGAGTGAGACTCCAACTCAAAATAAATAAATTAAAAAAATAAAAATTAGCTGGGTAGTGTGGTGCACGTGTAGTGCCAGCTATTCAAGAGACTGAAGCGGGAAGATTGGCTGAGCCCAGGAGGTCGAGGCTGTGGTGAGCCCTGATGGTGCCACTGCACTCCAGCCTGGGCAACACAGTGAGACCCTGACTCAAACAAATAAAACAGCTTTGTACCTAAATATAGCGACAAATTGACCATTTAAACCATTCCAAGTGTGTAGTTCAATGGCATCCAGTACATTCACACTGTCATGAAACCATCACCACCATTCATTTCTGAACTTTAAAATTTTTTAGGGACAACTGCCTCAGGTCTCCTCCCCAAAAGATTTTTCTTTTCTTTTTTTGAGTTGGGATCTCACTCTGTTGTCCAGGCTGGAGCGCAGTGGTGCGCGATCACAGTTCATGGCAGCCTCAATCTCCTGGATCCTGGGCTCAGGCGATCCTTCCACCTCACCCTCCCAAGTAGCTACAACTACAGACACATGCTATCCCATCAGGGTACTTTTTAAAATTTATTGTAGAGATGAGGTCATGCTATGTTGCCCAGACTGGTCTTGAACTCCTGGACTCAGAGTGATCCTCTTACCTCAGCCTCCCAAAGTGATGGGCTAATTTTTTGATTTTTGGAGAGATGAGGTACATCCTCTCTACAAAAATCAAAAGCTGCACTAGTCACAGTGACCAAAAGGGGGAGCCATCCAAATGTCCAATGGGTGAATGAATGCATTGTTAGCTGTTTTGTTTATTTATTTTTATTTTTTGAGTCGGAGTCTCACTCTGTCACCCAGACTGGAGTGCAGTGGCCGCTCCCAGCCACCACAGCCTCGACCTGCTGGGCTCCGGCGATCCTTCCGCCTCAGCCTTCCAAGTAGCTGGAACTACAGGCGCGCGCTACCACGCCCAGCTGATTTTTTATTTATTGTAGAGATGAGGTCTCGCCAAGTTGCCCGGGCGGGTCTCGAACCCGCAGGCTCAGGCAATCCACTCACCTCAGCCTCCCAAAGGCACGGGATTACAGGCTGAGCCACTGAGTCCGGCTTGCCGTTTTTCTTAAGATCGATTTAGCTTCTAATAATGCTCTTGTTTACAGACTTGCAGGGTATGGCGTGGGGTGCCCTGGTCCATTTTTTTTTTTTTTAGCTCAATCATTTTTACATCAGATTTCACAGAGTACCTATATCATGTCATGGAAACACAAGCACCGATGTCAGAAGTGAGCCCATCAGTTCAGAGATAAATTACCTGATTTTTCTTTTAAAAAAACTTTTTAAAAAGTAGAAATGAGCTCTTGCTATGTTATTCAGGCTGGACTTGAACTCGGGTCTCTTTCCTAATGTTCATTATAACGTCTTTCTTTTTTTAGTCAGTCTTACTCTGTTGCCCAGGCTGGAGAGCAGTGGCATGATCATGGCCAGTACAGCCTTGACCTCCTGGGCTCAAGCAATACTTCCACCTCAGCCTCCTGAGTAGCTGGGACCACGGGTGTGCACCACCATGCTTGGATAATTTTTTAATTTATTATAGAGACGAGGTCTCTCTATTACACAGGCTGGTCTCGAACTCCTGGGCTCAGGCAATCCTCCCACCTCAGCCTCCCAAAGTGCTGGGATTACAGGTGTGAGCCACGGTGCCTGGCCCACTATTATTTATTTTGACTCATGAAGATTTGGGGGGGGGGGTTGTTTTGGGAGGGAATGAGGGTGAACACATGGGAGAAGGCCAGGTACATGGAGTTGGAATACCCATAATCCTTGTTTCACGAGACACTGTTAATTATTGGTTTATGCAAATTCCTTTTTTCATGCATTTTTTTATTAAGGTGAAATGCACACCACATAAAATTAATCATTTTAAAGTGGACAATTCAGTGACATTTAGTACATGTGCGATGTTGTGGAACCACAACTTTAGCTATAAAACTTTTCCATCATTCCAAAACACAACTCCCCTCTCCTGAGCCCTGGCAACTATAAATATGTACTTTATTTTTATAGGTTTACCTCTCCTGGATATTTCATACAGATGGAATCATAACATTGACACCCTGTTGTGTCTGGCTTCTCTCACTGAGCATGATGTCTTCAAGGCCCATCCTCACTGTAGTCAATGTCAGAGCCTCCCTCCTTTGGCCGAATCATATTCCAGTGTTTGGATAAACCACAATTCATTCATTCATTCACGCATTCACCTGTTGGACATTTGGGGTGGCTCCCCCTTTTGGTCACTGTGACTAGTGCTGCTATGAACATTCATGGGCACCTGTTGAGTACTCGCTTTCAGCTATTTTGGGTACATACCCACAAGCGGAATTGCTGGATCCTATGGTAATGCTATGTTTAAGTTTTTGAGGAATCTATGTTCCATGGAAATCAGCCATTTTATATGTCCACCAGCAATGAATATGAGTTATTCTCGTTTTTCCACGTCCTCACCCACACTTATTTTTTATTATTATTATTTTTTTTTTTTTTTGAATTGGAGTTTCACTCCGTCGCCCAGACTGATGGCCACTGCAGCCTCGACCTGCCAGGCTCCGGCGATCCTTCCGCCTCAGCCTTCCAAGTAGCCAGAATTACAGGCGTGCACTACCACGCCCCGCTGATTTTTGATTTATTGTAGAGATGAGGTCTCGCCAAGTTGCCCGGGCGGGTCTCGAACCCGCGGGCTCAGGCAATCCACTCACCTCAGCCTCCCAAGGTGCGGGATTACAGGCTGAGCCACCGAGCCCGGCTTCACCAACACTTTTTAAGCTCTACCCACCCTTGTGGACGTGAAGTGAGATTTCATTGATATCTCATTGTGATTTTGATGTGCATTTCCTTAATGATGATGTTGAAGATCTTTTCATGTGCTTGTTAGCTGTTTGGACGTCTTTTTTTTTTCTTCCTTTTTTGGAGAAATGTCTGTTCAAGTTCTTTGCCCATTTTTCTTTTCCAGGAGGCTAAACTGGGTTTTAATTCAAGAGGTTACAGCTTATTTATTGAACCCTAACCACACACATTCAAACACACCTGAATTTTGCTCATTTTTTTAAACTGGGATTTTGTTGTAAGCAATTTTGTTGTTTGTTATAGAGAGAAGTCTTGCAATGTTGCCCAGGCTGGTCTCAGACACCTGGGCTCAAGTTATCCGCCTGCCTTGTCCTCTCAAAACGCTAAGATTACAGATGTGAGTCACCACACCCAGCCAAGCATTATTTATATATTCTAGATACCAGATTCTCTTCAGATATATGGTGTGCAAGTTATTTTCTCTTACTCTGTAGGTTGTCTTTTTACATATCCTTTAGCAATTGGATGCATTAATAGTGTAATGAGTATGTCACTACAGCTCACTTCAAAAGTCAGAACCGAGCCTGAAATCCCAGCACTTTGGGAGGCAGAGGCAAGAGGATCGCTTGAGCGAGACCAATCTGGACAACAGTGTCTCTACAAGAACAAACAAGAAAACTTAGCTGGCCATGGTGGCACAAGCCTGTAGTCCCAGCTACTCTGGAGGCGCAGGAGGACCACTTGCGCCCAGGAGTTGGAGGCTACCATGAGCCATGATCCTGCCATTGCACTCCAGCCTGAGTGACACACTGTGACCCTGGCTCAAAACAAAAACAAAAAAATCCCCAAACAAGAAAACCACAGCAGGGACAGTGATTTATATCCACCCGAACCCCACCCCCCTGCCTTCCCAGATCCAAGGTAACTTCTCTCTGCTTTGAATTTTGCATTTAATTTTGTTTATTATAGTTCTGCTACCTAGAGATTCATGCCTACATAACATATTGTTAGAGGTGCTTTTGGACTGTATAAAAGGTTGACAATTGCATACAATGCTGAGTGGTTTCCCGAGGTGGTTGTACCGATTATACTTTCTGAAATAATTTATGTGAGATCACTGCCCGCCTGGCCCATCTCCAACACTTGCTATGGTGCAATTTCTTTATTTCTGGAGCTTTCTTTCTTTCTTTTTTGAATTGGAGTCTCACTCTGTCGCCCAGACTGGAGTGCAGTGGCCGCTCCCGACCACGGCAGCCTCGACCTCGTCGATTACTTCCGCCTCAGCCTTCCAAGTAGCCGGAATTACAGGCAGGCGCTACCACGCCCGGCTGATTTTTTGATTTATTGTAGAGATGAGGTCTCGCTGGCCAGGCAGGTCTCGAACCCGCGGGCTCAGGCAATCCACTCACCTCAGCCTCCCAAAGCACGGGATTACAGGCTGAGCCACCGAGCCCAGCTTCTGGAGCTCTTGAAGAGGTGGCAACCTCCCCCAGCTGGACCCTTGGGAAACCTGTGGGATTTTACCCCTCCCTCTCCACTGTTCCCCAGGGAGTCTCCAGGGGCCATGAAGGTAGGATCTGGCCAGCTTTGAGCAGAGGCTGCGTGGACAGGCACGCCCCCACCTCCCAGCTTGGTCCATGGGGCCTTGGATAGAGGACTTGACCTTTCTGAAGTCAGTACCTTCTGGTCTGTCAGGGGGTCTATGAGACGCTGACCCAGGGGAGGAGGGAGGTGGCCTGAGGGGCTGGCTGAGGCCTCGGGCTTGTCTGAAGGTGGTGGGGGATCAGCCCCCGTGCTCTGTAGCCATCCGGGGCCCCTGAGGTGGGCACTCATCCTTGGGTGGCAGTGAGCACCCCGTCAGTGGGGTATGTAAGTAGCAGTCTGGCTTCCTCGGGGGTCTCGGGGACGGAGAAGGAGCTCTGACAGGGACCCAGTTCTCAGCCAGCGAGTTCGGCTCCGTTCAAGTTTTATTGGACCCCTGCCACCTGGGGCTCCCACGCCCCCCAGGCTGCAGGCCGGCTCAGTCCAGTTGCGCAGAGGGAAACGGGGGTGGGCGAGATGAGGGGCGGAAGACAGATCATCAGCCCACCCCGGGTTGGGGCCCTCCCTGTCTCCGCGGCAGTGGCCCCGGCGCCACCTGTCCGGCCACCCCTGGCGGACAGTCCCTGGCTGGCTATGTGGCCGGCGTGTGCCCATTGGCCAGCCGCCCCGCTGCCCGGCTCCGAGGGCCGTCGGTGGGGGCTGCCCCGTTCCTCAGCTGCCGAGGTGCCTGGGCTGCCTCCTCTTCCTCGCTGGAGTCTGCCTCTTCCACGTCACTGCGGACGTCCTTCTCCATCTGGGGAACGGGGAGCGGGTGGGCGCTCAGAGCCGGGAAGAGCAAGACAGAGGAGAGGGTGGCTGAGGAGGGAAGGCGGAGGGAGGGAAGGGGAGGGAAGGGGGGGAGGGAGGAGGGAATGGCAAGGCGCGGGCCACGGCTGGGCCCCCCGGACGCCCGCGCGAGCCCCCTGCCCGGCGCACCTGGCCCTTCTTCATGAAGCTGTAGAGCATGCGCAGGATGAGGCCCGACCAGAACACGTGCAGCCCCTGCAGCAGCGCCAGGAGCCCGTTGAAGAAGTAGTAGCCGAAGAAGGGGCCCGAGTGGAGGATGGACTCGTAGTAGGTGGTGTACAGGATCCTGCGGCGGGAGGGCGGGGTCACCAGCCGCACGGCCTTCCCTGCTCCGGAACCTTCTGTGGCTCCCCAGTGCCCCGTCTTCAGCGGGCATTCACGCTCCACCTCCCCGCTCCACACAC